ATGGGCATCTCTTTCAAAAACTATACCAAGAATAAAACTGTTGGTTGACAAGAAGCAAAATCAAAGGTCTCAGTAATTCTGACAAATTTTTAAATTGTATGACACTAAAATTTTTGTTATGCACTGAATAAAGTTTCCTTTTGAAAAAAAATACATTTCTATTCTATTTCTGCTGTGCATATGCATGGTATGATAATAGAGTTTCCTTCACATTGAATAGGCAATATGGGAAGGTTTACTGAAAGTCAGGGCTTAGGGACACTGAAAAGGGTTGGGACACCCTCTTCTAAGACACTGACCATAGAAGCCATACCCTCACGGAATCCTTGAACTCCATCTCATTCAGCATCCTGCTCCCATCTCAAGCAGTCCTGTAACCTTTCACATTGAAGAAAGTCTTTTTGCCTATAGGCTCATTGTCAGCCAGATAACTGGCTGAGATAAGTGTAGGGTCACTGGATTATTGAAGGCATAATTCCCATTCATTAGCTCCATTCCAAATTTCTGGCTTTTAAGAGCAAAAAGATAGTCTAGTCCTCCAAAAACTGTTAGGTTTTTTTTTTCTTAAACACGGTCTTCATACCCCACTGTGTCTTTCACAACTGTTTAATCAACAAATAGTGGGAAACACAGCCCTTCTAGCTGGGTTTTGAATAAATACTAGTAAGGTTCATTTTGCACATCTTGCCATCTTTTTCCTCTTGGCCCTTTGGACCACCAAACCTCCAAAGATCGAGCTCTGGAGTACTTAATCCACCCAGTTTTGGACGGCCTGCCAAGGGGCCCTAGGTGTCCCAGTCATTGAGTGCAAATTCACATAGCGCGATTGTATCCAGCTGTTTCCCAGACCACCAGGCCATGCTTTCAGGGGCCCACCCCAACTGTTTTCTTGACATCTACTCTGCAGCTGAGGACTCCTTCCTCCCCATCTCCCCCCCTTTCTCAGAAAACTGTAATCAAATTAATACTATCCCTACTTCTGGAAAAGGCACGCCAATCAACTTCCCAATGGCTCCACTAACTAACCAACTGAAACACCCCTCACTGGCCAGTGCTCCCTATATGTAATATCTTCCTCTATTAGAAAGTAAAGGGGGCAAGTAGGTGGTGCCATAGTGCACAGAGTTCCAGGCCTGAAGTCAGGAAGGCTTCACCTTCCTAAGTTCAAATCTAGCCTTAGACACCAGCTGTGTGATCCTGGGCAAGTCACTTCATCCTGTTTGCCTCAGTTTCCTCATCTGTAAAATGAGCTGGAGAAGGAAATGGCAAATCACTCTGGTATCTCCGCCAAGAAAACCCCAAACAGGGTCACAGAGAATCAGACATACCTGAAATGATTCAACAACAACATTAGAACATAAGTTCTTCAAGGGCAGGAACTGTTATCTCCCTTTTGTATTTCACTCCAGCACTTACAACTGTGCCGTAGTAAGGTTTAATGGTTATTTTTCGTTCATTTGGATTCATTTGTAAATGAACCTAACCAAACCGCCCAAATGCTGGACTCCGCACTTTGCACAAAAAAAGAATACTTTTACTGATTTTGCAAACAATGAATTCAAATACTCGAGTACCTATGAATTGGGGTATTCCCTCCAATGACACAGTCCATACCTGCCCCTCCTATACAACTCATCCTCATTCTACTATGAGGCTAGCTCCCTTTCTGAGTTTACTTTGCATTTGTTAAGCCTCCTAAGGAGAAATGTATCCATCTGCAGATGGACCAGGCTATATGCAAACTGGCTCAATGGGCCTGCCTAAATGCAAATAAAAGTTTGATTCAGCATTTTAAAAGATTCCTTAAATAAAAATAACTCTTGCTAGTGAAAAACAGCCTTTTACCAAGTCCTACGTTTCCTAAGTTTGCTACAGGTGCTGGGGGGTTTCCTGAGATCACAACGATACCATTGGAGCACAGGGGCTGCTGCTGGGTTATCAGCCCATCCACCTTTTTTTAAGATCTTATTTTTCTTTGATTACATTTTCACTCTACTTCTCCTTTGTAATAACTGTGATGCACTACTACTGTCTGCTCATACCCACCAAGGGCCTCTCCATTCTCCTCAAATGAGACAATATTTACAAAGTGCTAAGCACAGGACTAGGTACATTTTTATTGCTGTTCAATCCTGCCCAACTCTTGGTGACCCCATGTGGGATTTTTTGGCAAAGATACTGGAGCCCTTTACCATTTCCTTCTCCAGCTCATTTTACAGATGAAGAAACTGAGGCAAACAGCATCAAGCAACTTGCCCAAGGTCACACAGCCAGTAAATGTTTGAAGCCAGATTTGAACTGAGGGAAATGAGTCTTCCTGACTTCAAGCCCAGTGTTCTATTCACTGTGTTACCTCAGCTGTAAAATAAAGGAATTATGTTCAATGACTTCTAAGATCCTTTCAAGCTATAGATCCATCATTTATATTCCTACAATCCATCAGAAATTGTTGCCACATATTACTTGACAAGAATGACTTTCCAGGTAAGACATAAAATGTGCAGTTGAAATCACCTGCATGCTTGGACCTTACACTAGCAAGTAGAGCTTTTGTGTGTCTGATATACATATCATGTGTTCAACATATGTGGATCATGCCAGGATTTTTTCAGCTTTTTGTTCTCTTTTTTCTGTTTTGTTTTGGCTTTTTTCTAGTTTGGTGGAGGTAGAGGAAATTTTCATAGGTAGGAGAGACAAAGACAGATTTGGGGGAAAGGACATTCCCCTTCCAACCTCCTGTCAGATAAGGATAAGGTTTGGGCAATCTGCTTCCTTGAGTGAGGGGGGAGGGGTTGATGTGGGGAGGACAGGTAAGAGAAGCTTGAAAGAGGTGTAGTGATTGGCTTGGCAGGTTTCTAGCTCCTTCCATCCTCAGGGTCTATCTGGTGCTTAGCAAATGTTGATATGAGGTAGGTGAGATGGTGTAGGCAAGGGCAGCAAACCACCCCCACCCCCACCCCCCAGTGTCCAAGCCAGGGTGTCTTGAGTAAAGCATAGCCAAGGAGGGGGAAGAAAAGCAGTACAAACAGGAAGACAATGGAACCATATCTATAAGCTGTTACCACACTAGCCCATGAATGCCCAAAGGCAGCTGGGTGGGACAGCTGCCTGGATGACCAGAGAATTTCAATAGAATGTTACATGTCAGGGCTAGAATCATAGGTCCAGAGATGGAAAGAGGACAAGTGGTCCAATTTCTCTCATTTTACAGAGTAGGAAACTGAGGTTAATTGATTTGTCTAAGGTCACACAGGTGGCAACATCAAAGGTGTGATTTGAATCCAGGTCCTCTGACTAGAACACAAAGTATTCTTTCCACTGTAGCTTGGAGCTTGCCAGGGCTGGCTCCCTTGTGGAAGCTAACTTACGAATCACATGGCTAGGGAATTGAATCCCAGTGCCAGTAACAACTGTCCCTAACAATATGGGGGAAATCACTCTCATTTTTAGGGTCATGAATTTTAGAAGCCTGGATTCAATTTGGCAAATAACAGGATGCTTTGGAGACAAAATAATGGGTGTGTGCCTGCATCAGTTGTTAAAACACCATCTGCCCCACCAGAACATTCTTCACCCTGTTCTCCACGAAGCATATAACATGCAAAATAAAAAGGAAGCAACCCAGCATCTGTCTTCAAGGATTTGAAGATTTGTTCTTCTGGGCCCCAGAAGGCAATTCTGGGAGTGCTGAGTGGAACCTAGAGGGATGCAGATTTAAGCTCTATGTAACAAATGGCTTGTCTTGGGAGTTAATGGAATCCTCATTGAGGTCTTCAGGCAAAGGCCGAATTCGAGGTCAGGGGGTGTTATGAGGGGGATTCTTGTTCAGGCTGTGATTGGATTAGATGGTCTCTGTGGTCCCTTCTGCCTTCTAGTGGTTGTCCTCATTGTACAATACCTCTTTACCTAAACCAGGGGTGCTGAAAGGGAAAACAAGAGTTCTCTCACTAAACCCTCTGCCACCACCCCACAGCACCCCTCCTACCCTCCCACCCCCGCCCAGCAAGCAATTAATTCTCCTAAGCCATCCATCTGTTGGCTGCGGGCCTTGGGACAGAACTGGTTGCTTCCCCATTCCCACCACCTTTCACCCCCATACTGTTACGTTTCATTTTGGAGAGGATGCCAATTTCTGCCTCCAGCCCACCCATCCCACCCCTCCCAGCTGTTCTTCCATCTTGACTCTCTTGGGAGAAGCCAGAAGCTCCCGCTGTGTCTGAGCTCGGGTTCCTGCCTCTCTGGGTCCATCTCTTCCACCGCTTCTCCCGCCTCCCGGCCCCCCCTTCCCCGCCCTTCCCGGATCCTGCAGTGAGAACCGCCTGACCAGTTTGACATCAAGTCGTCTCCACAGCAACGGGCCGATGTCACAAACATAGGACGATGACTTCACTGCAGGGGATCCTGGGGAAGGAAGGAGAGAGTAAGGGGAAGATAATTCAGATCCAAGCCTTTGACCCCTGTACCCCTGCTCCTTATCACCTCCTGGGAAGGTGCTCGGGAGATAGGGCTGGGGCCTGCGGAGGGGAAAACTTATTTTCCTCTCCCGTTCTCCTCACTACCCCCAGCCAGACCTGTCCAGTTTAGCAGCCTCAGCTTGGATAGTGCTTCCAATTTGCCTTGGGGGATGGGAGGGATTTGGGGAAAGGAAGGATTTGGGATAGGGAGGTTTGGAACCCAAGACATTGCTCCCAAGTCACCTTCCCAAAGCCCTGGCAGGGAGGTCAGCGCCCTCGAAACCTCAACCCGGCCATGAAATAAATAAATGATGGCCATTTAAATTATTAAATAAAGCATCCCTCCAGACGTCCCTCCCGAGCAGCCACCTCGGTGGGGCTGGGAAGAGGGAGGAATGGGGCGGGGGGCGCCGGCTCGCTGCGCAGCCCCAAGTCCCACCTTAAGAGGCGGTGCTTGGCGCCGGGGAGTGTCAGGAAGAGGAAGAGGCTAGGGAGCAGAGCGGGAGCCGGAGTGAACAAGCGAGAGAGAGCGAGCCAGTGGCTGAGGCAGTGGCGGGGCCAGTCCGGCGGCGCAGCACAGAGAGCAGCTCCTCGCCGCTCAAGTAGCCGCCCGCGCAGCCGTGCCCAGCGCAGCGGCCGCAGCGCAGCCCAGCCGTACCCAGCGAGCAGCGTAGCGCGGCGCGGCCAGACCCCCGGGCACAATGGCCACCGACGAGCTGGCTACGAAGCTGAACCGGCGGCTGCAGATCGAGGACGGCGGCGAGGGCTCTGATCACGAGCAGGGACAGGAGCAGTTGCCTCAGCCTGGGCTCAATGGGGCCGCGGCCGGGGCAGGGCCCGGGGCACCCGACGAGTCCGGGGATCCGCTGGCCAGCGCGGACTGCGAGCTCAGCGCCAAGCTGCAGCGGCGCGCAGACCTCAACCAGGGCATCGGCGAGCCCATGTCCCCCAGCCGGAGGGTCTTCAACCCCTACACCGAATTCAAGGAGTTCTCCAGGAAGCAGATCAAGGACATGGAGAAGATGTTTAAGCAGTAAGTGTGTCCCTAGAGTCCCACTACCTCCCTCCCCCTAAACTCACGCACCGGTATCAAGTGCCTCCTCCCCCCATCTCCCAGGCTCCCTTAGGGATCTTAGGATTCAAAACTTGAAGCACCCTTAGGGTCATGTAGTCCAGGCCTTCCGTTTTACAGATAAACTGAGACCCAGACTTGCTGAAGGTCCTCAGTTTCTTTTTCATTGCTCCCTCCTCAAACCGTGCCTTCAAACTCTGCAGTTCTATGTCCATTCTATATGCCGCCCGCCCCCCATCCCCTTCCAGGAACATCTGTCCCTATAGTCCTAAAACGCAGAAACCTTCCTCCTGGGCCCTGGAGTGAAACGGCCCCGTTCTCCAGTCTAAACCCTTTCTAGGATTTCATTCCGCTGTCCTATCCCCAACCCCCTACTCCTTGCTTTTTAGGTGGGGAAAACACCAAAGACCCCTCCCCCTTGGGATAGTAAAGGCTGAGGCCCCTTCAGACTCAAATCTCTTGCCCTGGCTCTGTCCCATCCCTTCAGATAGCTTTCTCCTACTCTCCCCTAACCCTTATTCAGGCCTTGGCTACTGAGGCTTCTAGAAAAACAGGCTAAAGGCAAAGAAAGTTCCCAGGGAATAGAAAAGCCTGCCGAGAAGGTCCTGGCTGAAGGGTGTCCCCGTGGGTCCTGGGGATGAGGAGGGCAAATGGCTTCTAGGAACATTGGCTCCAAGTGATGGAATGGCCCTGATGGTTGAACTGTGGCCCAGAAATCTTGGGGTGGGGAAGGGGGAAGAGGTCTCAGATGGGGGGAGTGTAGAGAGGGAATTTGGGCAGCCTGAAGGCAAAGAGCCTTCAATCTGGACTATGAGTTTGGTCAGCTTGAGCAGATGCTGCAGTAAGGTTGGCATTGTCTCTGTGCCCGGAGTGGGATGGGGGCAGCACCAAGAGACTATCTCTGTCAGGTTGCAGCCATCCTGGTCAGAAATCGAGACTCACAGCAACAGCAGAACTGGATCCTGTTCTGTTTCTGCAAATGCTCTTCCTCCAGCTCTCCCACTCCCACCCCCAATTTCATAACTTCAGTCTCTTCTGCTTTTCTCTCCTGATACTGAAACTTTGACTCATGATGAGGCTGTGTGGTGTAGTAAGAGCACTGGAGACGTGGCTCTGCTGGGATTGCGGTGGAGACCTCAGAATCCTGGCTCTGCCAGTGCCAAAGCTCAGGGGTGGGGAACCTGCAGCCTGGAGACCACATATGGCCTTGCTGTTTGACCCTGGGCAACTTATCTTTCCTCTCTCTGGGCCGCTTTTTCCTCCTCAATAAAATTGGGGAAGGTAAAGGGTCCAAAGTCAGAGACCTGCATTTAAATCCCAGCTCCACCTTTGCCTAACTAGCTTTGTGACCTTGGGCAAGTCATTGGCCTTCTGGTGGGAGAAGTGTCTGAACCAGATGATTGCTAAGGTCCACTTCCAGCTCTAAATCCTGTGATCCCATGATCCTTTTCATTTTAATAGCTTTGAACCTAGATTCAGCTCCTGAATAGAAGAAAAGAGTTTGATCTCTTTCCAGCCTTAGGAATCTCTCTAGGATTGGTTTCCCCCTCTTCTCCCCACTAGTCTCAGAAGAGTTTCAAGACAAACTGAGACCCAAACAAAGACCTAGATGATCTTCAGGAGCTATTGGGTGTATTTAAAGTATCTCTTTATCCTTAAAGAGTTTAAAGAGTTTAAAGTATCTCTCCCTATCCTTAAGCTTCCATGGCTGCAGGAAAGATGAGTGTGTGTGTGTTTTCCACTGGGTGAATTTTGGAGGTAGGAGACAGGGAGGGGACTGGTCAGAGCTTTTCAGTTGTGTCCAACTCTTCGTGACCCCATTTGGGATTTTCTTAGTGAAGATCCTGGAGTGGTTTGCCATTTCCTTCTCCAGCTCATTTTACAAAAGAGGAAACTGAGACAAATAGGGTAAAATTACTTGCCCAGGGTCACATACAGCTAATAAGTGTAAGGCCGGATTTGAACTCTGGAAGATGAGTCTTCCCGACTCCAGACCTAGCAACTGTATCCACTGTGTCACCTAGCTGCCCATCAGAGCAATGATTCCCAAACTTTTTCTGCCCAGACCCCTATTAGAACATATAGGATCTATGGCCACCCCTTCTCTTAGGTTCTCCTTCAGCACTTGATCTCCCTGAGAGCTCAGGAAGCATTTCCCAGGAGTACAGACTTTTGGTTGTCTGATTCCTTGTCCCTAAAAAGCATCCTAGGTTTAGAGTTGTCAGAGGACCTGAGTCATATGGTGCTGCCCATGTTGACCTTGGACAGGTATCTGGATCTCAGCCTTCTCTGTAAGATGAAGGGGTCTAGATGAACTCCAAGGTCCTCTTTCTGCTCTAAATGCTGTGTTCCCTAGTCCCTTACAGCTTCACAGCTAATTTGCCCCATTTCATGTCTACAACCAATGCCACACAGCCCTGCCCTAAATCTTTCCAAAGTTCCTTCCTTTCTGTCCTTCCCTTCCTGTTCTGGCCCAGAAGAACCCCCCAGGAAACTTCCAACCTTTATATCCCCATCTAGAAATCCCCCATCCACAGGACATAATTTCAATAGAATGGAAATCTCCCCAGCCCCCAGCTGGCTGTAATTGACAGGCCCTGCAGGCTCCCCAGTTGCGGGAGGAAATGATTGGAGCTGGGGCCTTCTAGGGAATCGGGCATAGGCTCATCTTGGGCTCTGGCGCAAGCAGGTTTAGTATTCAAGGGAACAAGGCACCACTGTGCCAGCCCAGACCAGCCGTCCCTGGGCTGTTGAGCAGCAACCAACCAGCTCCTGCTGAAGACAAAACCCCATTCTGCTCCTTACACTGAGCCCTGGCTGCTGCGCCAACCCCATTCTGCTCCTTACACTGAGTCCAGGCTGCTGCGCCAATGGGCTGGGTCCCAGCCCGAATACCCTCCACATCCTCCCACTGACCCCACTCAGGACAAAGAAGATTTCCTCCAGCCCCCTCAACCTGCACCACACCCTAAGCTCCCTGATTTGATGGGATGAGAACAAGATTTAGAGGTAGGAAAGCTAAGTCTCCTACCCTCTGAGCCTCAGTCTCATTTTTTCAGTAAGGAAGTTAGACTGAGCATCCTCCCAGCTCTGACAGTCTCCGTTCCAAATGTCCACTGAGCCCTGTCTCCCCTAGCTCCAACATTCTCTTTTCTAAGGAGCTCCCAGCTCTCTCTCCTCTGATCCATAGGGGCCTTTCCCCAGGCAGATCTGCCTCATGAGTTCAGGGTAGACAAGTCAGGAGAACCCCTAGATTGTCTTTTTTTGGAAGTTTTCCTGCTTTTGGCCATGCCAGACAGCCTCACTGCTGTCTGTCACTGATTTTTCCTGAGGTGATCAATTTCACAAGACCATAATGTGATGAAAAGAGCCCTTGGAAACCTCTCTTTCACTCCCAAATCACTTCCCTCCACCTCCCTATCTTTTTTATGAATTATCCAGGTTTTCCCTTATAACTCTCCTCTGATAAGAGAAATGAGCTTGGCATAGGAGAAGGGAGAAGGTGGAAGCTGGAGGCTCAGCCACCTCTCTCCTGGGGTGTCTGGGGTCCCTCAGCCCATTCAGGTAGGGCACCGAGTGGTGTAAAGTGAGACCAGCAGCAGCAAGTGTGTAATTCTGTCCCTGGACATTCAGAGGCCAGTGCCCCAGTTCTTAACTTACCCTATCTGAACCCAATGTACATCTGTCCCTGGGCCTTTGGTAGCCAGCTAGTACCCTTGACACATTTCCCTTTCCTCTAGCCAAGCCTTCTTTCTTTTCACAAGCTCTTGAGGTCCCTGTGGAGGTCACTCAGTAGATGACCAGCCCATTTGTATCTGCTCCTTTCAGGTGGCTTCTTCAGCCCCAGACCTCCTCTTATTATGAATAGTTCCCAATTCTATAGTGCTGCTTGGGGATTTGCAGCTGGTTTTACCGAGAGTACCCCTGTGAGGTAGGGAATACAAGTATCACTGTCCTTGAGGAAACTGAGGCTCAGAAAATTAAGTGGCTTGCCAAGGGTCATCCAACTAGCCAATGTAAATATCAGAGTTCGGATTTGAAACCAGGCAGGTCCCCAGTTATGAGTCCCATGGGATGGCCTCACCCCACTGTACTGTGCTCCCTCTTCCCTCATTCTTCTTCTTCCGCTCAGCACCTTCTAGTCTTCAGACTTCTCCATATTTCCCCAGGGGCCTTCTTCTTTTCTCTCTACCTAACCAAGGTCTTCTTTGGAGAATCAGTGGGATACAATGGGCATTCTCTACATGTGTCCCTCTCGCAGTCAGAGCTGCATGGGCCCCCAACCAGCCTGTGGGGATTAAGGACAGCAGTAACTCTTCCCGAAGTTATGTAGCAGAAATTCTCTAGGAATAATTGCCAGGAGGGGAAATGAAGGGTCAGACTTCCTAAGGCCACAGTAGTTCAGCACCGACCCTTGGAGGATGGCCTACAGCTGTTCACCAGCCATCTCCCATCACCTCCACAAATTCCTTCTATGGCCCATAGCACAAAACCAGGAGAACCTTTTTGTGGAGTAGAAAATGAATTAAATCCTTCGAATGTCTGTGGAAGACGTGTGTGTTTGGCTGAGCGCTTTAAGAAAGGGAAGGTCCTTACTCATCTCTCCAGAGTGTGTGTGGGAGATTTTCTCCTGACCTTCGTGTGGTCACTCCTTTTGACCTCTGCCTTTGCCATGTCCATCTTTATTTAACTTCAGCCTTCACTCTTGGGCCTGGGGAGACTTGTGGTTCTGGCTCTGGTTTGTACCTTCCTCATTCCCCTCCTGGTTATTTCTTGTGGTCTGGTCCTCTTCTCCATTTTTGTTATATAATGAATAGTGTCACGGGAGGCCAGAGCTAGGAGGGCCCTTAGAACACAGAATGTCAGAGCTGGGAGGGGTCTTAGAACCCAAGATGTCAGAGCTGGAAGGGGCCTTAGAATACAAAATGTCAGTGCTGGAAGAGCCTCAAAATGTAGAATCT